TATCCATTTCAAAATAGAAAGTACTCTGGTGTCTGGAACAGATTTTTGATTTGAATGAAACTGATATTTGAAGCACACTCATTGAGTTGAAATTCTGCATAAACATTTAGTTTGGATGACAATGCATGATTAGCTAAATGACGTCGCTATAAATCCAATATGGCGGACCGCCCAAGATGACAATCAAGTTTTGTATGCACCCCCATCAAATGAATTTCAAATGAAAGTGTTAAATTCAGGATGGTGTACTGCGTTCTTTTGTCAGAAAGCGAGATAGCTGCCATAGCAATTTTAAACAGTTATAGTTGGGTAAAAGTTACATGTAGTTTGGTTGTTCTCGAACAAATGTTGTAGGGACCGACCATGCAACAATGACGTATTAAATGAAATGAGCAGACTAAGGAATAATATGTCCAATGATAACTAAAAATGAATTGATAGTTGAAAACATTCTTTCAAACAATATTGTATTAACATGATTTAAGAGAGAAAATGAGTTTTGAATTAATTCAATTTATTACGTTACACAATTTATATGCTATATAGGTGAATATCATGACAAGCTTTTATATGATATGAATTATGTAATGTAACGAACTAATGGGTTTGGATTAATTTATGACTTATTTTATTCTTTTTAGAACATGTTAGGAAAATATTAGTTTTGAAAATGTTTTTTTACTGGTAATTTCCTAGAGAGTTATCTTGAAGAAAGATTACATATTGTGATGAAGCAAGTTGAAATAGGAACATTTACTGTTAATTCCATTTTTTTATATTATGTGATTAATCCTGTTCCATAGCAAATCATCGGAGTTTTTTGTGGCATACGTGAACTCAAAAAATAAGGTGAATGTTCAAACTTCGCTGACTACGTACATTCGATTCGCGATTTTTAAAATTGTTTTATGTTGGTACACTCGTCGTAGTGTTTTGTGTGTTCGGCGACTTTCTGCTATCGAAAAAAATTGATCAAAGGATTTGGATGAGTGCTCAAAAATACTTGAAATGTTGACAGTGGCATACGGTGAATGTACTCTGAGTCAGAAAAATGTTCAAAAGTGGTACACACTTTCCACAGAAGGTCAAGAAGATGTGAATGACGCCCCAGCACATCAACAACCGATAAAAATGTTGAGAGAGTGAAGAAAATTGTTATGGAAACTCGTCGAATCACTATTAGAGAAGTTGCTGAGGCTGTCGGCATATCTGTTGGCTCATGCCTTTCAATTTTTTTGGAAATTTTTGGCATGAAGCGTGTAGCAGCGGAGTTCGTTCCAGAATTGTTGAACTTTGATAAAAAAGACCGTCGCATGAGGATCGCTCAGGAATTGTTGAATGACGTCAACGGCAATCCAGATTTGCTTAAAAGGGTCACAACTGGTGGGGAATCATGGATATAGCGTTATGATATCGAAACCAAAGTCCAATCGTCCTATGCCATGATAGCCAACACCAAGAAAAGCACGCCAAGTTCGATCAAGTGTCTAGGTTTTGCCCACTGTTATCATGGCGTAGTGCATCAGGAGTTCTTGTCACCAGGTCTTACTGTCAATATTGAGATTATTTTAAAGTTATACGAAGAAAACTTCCAATATTGTGGAAAAACAATTCATGGCTTTTGCATTACGATAATGCACTTGCTCACTCGTCATTGCTTATTCGTTATTTTTATGCTTCAGTCATTGTATTCACCAGATTTGCCCTCCTGCAATGTTTAATGTTCCCAAGATTGAAGAGACCCATGAAAGGACGGCGTTTTGGGACGATTGATGGGATAAAAACTAAATCGCTAAGAGAGCTCAGTGACATACCAAAAAGTGCATATCAGAACTGCTTCAAGGATTGGAAAAAATGCTGGCACAAGTGCATTATATTGAGGGGGACTACTTTGAAGGGGACGGAATAGAAATTGATGAATAAATGAATATTTTTTGAGAAAAATGAAAATTCACCTTTTGTTTTGAACAGACATCATATTCGGAAATTCAATCGATTTGCCTAAACTTATTAATGTTTGATTTGACATACAGTATGAGGTATTATGCGAATTATCATTTTTTTCAATTATAAAAGGTCTTTCTATCTCTGTGTTACCTTTCCAATACAATGCTCTGATTCAGAGTTGAAAGTTGTGAGATTGAAAATAATAGAATCCCCTACTTGCGGGATGCTAATTGAGCAGAGCCGATTCAGCACTTAGAAATGATAAAAGAAGTTGTAGGGCGAGTTATTCACCTTTTGTCATCTCGAATTGTTACAATGAACATGTGAATTCATTTTGTGGAAGTTCCCCTCACAATAAGATTGTTTTTAACAAAAAAGAACTCAATTCTGAAGTAGTAGGTATGATTTACCTTACGGTTCTAACGACAAAAAACGCGCTGTTCCGGTTGGTATCAATCATTTATTGGCAAGTAATAAGAGAATTGGTGAGTACCTGGAACTGAGGACAAGCATTGCTGAATTTCCAGAACCCTCCATCCTAAGATAGGACGTCCAAGGACAAGGAGCAGCTTCGCCCAAATGTTGCTGCCAGTAAAAAGGACAAGACAACAATTGTTACAACATTCAAAAGAAAATTTTGATAGGCCCTTATACTCGCAACAAATATCTCACGTGCCTAAATAATTTTCCAAGATAAAATGTTCAAAATACATTCCAACAACAATCATTCCAAAATCCATTTAATAAACTACCTTTTTCTATTGATACTTCATCCGGTAACATTTGAATGCAACCCGAAAAGACTTTCACTTCAACCGAGTTATTTCTACAAGATGTGAATCAGTATGAAAGTGTATATGAAAACGGAGTCGAATATCTAGATAATTCGTTTTTTTTTGAGCATCCTCAAAATGAACTTGAATTAAAGCACGACAACAA